ATATGGAGTTTCTCAGGTAGGAGTTCGTGTGGTACGATAGACCCAGAGGACATTATGCAGCTCTACTACTCATTGCCCCCCAGCGTTATCAAGACGAGTCTTCAGCCCCTTGAGCACCGTTCACCGTTCGATTTGTCACCTTTGTCTATCCATTCGTTTGGGGATGCGCCACAGCAGTGTGCACCAACTGAATGTGAAGATCTATGCAGAATAATGTGAAGACTCTTCAAATGAATTGAGTCTCATTATCAGTGATAATCTTTGCGGGCAGCCCAAAGTGAAAGATGATGTTTTTCGAAACAAACTGTTTGGCATTAGCCTCAGTGATCTTTGCAAGAGGCTCTGCTTCTACCCATTTGATGAAATAGTCGATAGCTAAGATGATGAATTTTTATTGTCCAGTAGCTATCGAAAAAGACCCCATGATATCTACCCCCCCCCCCCCCTTGCGCGAAAAAAAAAAGGACTCACAAAAAGATGTGAGTTCCACTGACGGTGCATTAAGATTGGAGTGTAATTGGCAATTCTTGCATTTTTGCACAAACTCTAATACATCTTGTTTAATCGTAGGCCAGAAGAAGCTTTGCCTCATTATTTTAAAAGCAAGTGCCCTGCCACCAAGATGTTCCCCACATATTGCGAAATGAACTTCTCGTAGAGCATAATCAACTTCAAATGGAGGAAGACACTTGAGATATGGACCTACGAATGTCTTCTTATACAGTTCATCCCCTATAAGGATGAAGTTGGCATCCATGCATTGAATGTGAATTGATGTAGTGCCATCATCTAACAGTGTCCCGTCTTAGAGGAAGGAGATGATGGGATCCATCCAAGATGGTTCCCTTGGGTCATCTATAGACAGTATCACCCATGGGTCATGGATGCAAGGAAAATATATCTCCTCAATATACCTTCTTTTATAAAGATCTCCAATTGTTGAAGTTGCAAGCTTGGAGAGGGCATCGACTCGGGTGTTATACTCCCGAAGTATGTAAATGAGCTGACATATTTCAATTTGGGCGAGAAGTGTTTTTACGAGACTGAGATAATGCACCAGCTATGAGTTATGAGCATCATATTCTCCTTCTACTTGGGATGCGATGAGTTGAGAATCAGTGTAGATAATTATGTTTTGTACTTCACAGTTGATGGCAAGCTTTGAGAGGAGGGGCAGTGAAGCCGAATATGTCTTGAGTTGCTCGAAAGCGCTCTGCCAATCATCTGTCCACTAAAAATCGATGTTCCGAGCACCTCTGAGTATCTTGAAGAACGACAGATACTTATCACCATAACGAGCTAAGAAGAGGGATAAAGCGACTATACGACCATTTAACCGTTGTACCGCTTTGATGTTTTTTGGAGACATCATGTCCCTTAGCGCCTTGATTTTTTCTAGGTTTGTATCAATTCCACGATGGGTAATCATGAATCCTAAAAACTTCTAACAACTTCCTTGATGTCACCCCGAAAACACATTTTGCTGAGTTAAGTCGTAAATCATATTGACGAAGAAATTAGAAACACTCCTCTAGATGCGAAGTGTGTTGGGATGCTTCTAGGCTTTTAACTAAAATATCATCAATGTAAACCTTCATTATATGCCCGAGAAGATTTCTGAAAACTTTGTTCATGAGACGTTGATAAGTTGCACCAGCATTTTTTAATTCGAATGACATAACCTCATAATAGTATAAGTCCTTATCTGTTTGAAAAGAGGTGGCTTCCTCATCTACTGGGTTCATCTTTAT